GCCTCCTGAGGTCTGTGTGGGGCTAGGAACACAACATGCAGACAAGCCAGTGAAGTGCAGTGGTGAATGGATGGGTATTCCATGTCAGCAAAAGTGGATCACAGCAGGGGAAAAAACCATGTCCCCTGACACTGAGTGACAGCGATCCAATCTGGTTTTAATATCCCTTATAGCCTAGCATCTGTTTAGGCTGCCTTAGATAAGTCAGGCTTCAGTATGTTCCTAGTTAGTCTTAATGCAGTGTGGATGTCTGATCCAGACACAAGGGAGCTGCCAGCTTCCCAGGCTTGTGACCAAATATCTGTGCTTGTGACTCAATCATCATAATAAAAAGGAGGTGGAAGTTGAAACAAATACAAATAGCTTTTTTCCCCCCTTCCCACTATTGGTAATTAAAATAATAAAAAAAGTGAATTAGAACTCTGTCTTTCCTGAATACTTGTCATTTCTTGGCCTTTCAGTTTTCACTCGCCTGACTGGTGTTGCTATGCTGGAATTTCATTAAATGTCTTGTGGCGCAGTTTGATCTTCAGAGCTCTTTGTGTTGGTTTCTGAACGCCTGTAGAAGTGCTTTTAGTACAAAGGATACATCTAGATACTGAGTATTATGGTCTGTATCAAACAGACCATTATTCCACTGAAATACTTCAATGTCAAAATATATTTTTTGAGAAATACCTCTTAGATTATGGGAATAGAGGTTATATGGATTTTTTCCCCCCTTTTTTCTTCTGCATTTCATCTTTCACTTCATTAAAGGTCTGGTTAGAGAAATCATTCTTCCCTGTGGGCAGCTTCAGTCCTGCCTGTGCTTTTAGTATCTAATTAGTCATTTCTATTCAGTACCCTTTATAAAATATTTCTGTGCATTTGTCAGTGCATACAACCGTGTTCTGTGTGGAAAAAGCCTCAAATAAATGTTTTTGTGTGAAGTGGCAAATACTGTGGGAGAAAACAGCATACTATTTCTATGGAACTTGGTATAATTTGATTTGCCCACTGTCCTATGTTTAAAGTTCAGACAAATACAATCCCAATAATACAAACCATACCTGCCTTTTTAAGATGGTAGACATATTTTTTTCTTCAACCTTGCTTGTCATTTCAGTAAGTGTGGTGTTAGTACCTCTTGAAAAATTAAATTCAGTGCAAAAATGGATCAGAGGCCACTAGAATCTATTCCATAAAACCACAGTGGTTTATCACAGGAGTTATATCATTTCAGCAGCCCTGACAATGGCTACATTATGGGCTTGTAGTAACATTAGGGTGCTTTAGAAATGTTTTCATCATCTATAATATTAATATTATGATCTGTTAATATTGAAAAGTGTTTTCAGGCTCCTGAGGCCCAGTCACAGAATCACAGGGTGGGAATGGGGTATTATGACTTCTGTCCATCTGTCTCTGGTGTTGGATGTAGTCTCCTCTCATGGCATCTCTGTGCATCAGCAAGAGAGAACTTGTATTTCTCACTGTGTTAACTTTTTTGTACTCATGGCTGATACTGTCTCCTAATATAGCCATGTAGTTTAAAAAGGGGTGAAAAAATTGCATCATTACTATTCCAAGGGAATGTTTTTAAGGTGTTTCTTTGGTAATAGAAACCAGTTCTTGTACTGAAAGACAGTGTTTCCTGTGGAGGAGATGTTGAGTGAGGTTTAGCTCTCCTGCATCTCTGGAAACTCCTTTGCGGTGTGCCAAACGATGTTTTCTTTTGAAAAAGGAACACAATAATGCAGTAGGTTTCCAAATATCCTGAGGACTGTACTTACTGATGAGAGACTGCACAGTGATTGTGTCTTTTTCTTACTGCCAGCAAGGAAGGCTGTCTTTTATAGAACTTCCTAGATTTTAGCAGTATACTCTTTTTTTAATTTGGAGGCTTCTCTTACTAATTGCTACATCTTCATACAATAACCACAGCGATAAAAATCTTTGTTTTCAATGAGGGAAACTGTTTCTCTAGAAGGTGGAAGTATAACATTTTGGAGATAATTCTGGAAGTTTTCTGGGTAATACAATCAAATAATTTTTCTGAAACATTAGTATCATATAACAAGGGGTTTTAAAAGACTTTTCATATATTGTGGTGCAAAATGAATTCATTTAAATATGAGCACGCTTTTGGTTTTAGTAGTTTTGCAGCTTTATCCTTGTAGCTGATATGGTTAGCTTAATAGTAACAAGAATTTAATTTTAATTTTACAAGAGAAAACTGATGGATATTGAATCATTATAGGGTCAACTCAAGCTTACTAAGCAGTCTTTGAACTCGCAGGGGGTGGGACTGTAATGTCAGGACAGCTATTCTGCTGAAGGCACTGCCTGGCACACACTCAGTGGTGATGTGCTCCCATCTGAAGCACAGGCAGATTTGACACTTACCATGTGGTTTCTAGAGCCTACAAGACATGTTGTGTTATATGGTTTTTGAATATTAGATCATAATTAGGTCAAACCTCTCTAACATAATGATACATGTTAATAAATTAACATTTTAAGAAACAGAAAAAGAGGAACAGAGGAAGATGGGAATTAGATTCTTCTTTGGCCTTACTGTTAAAATATTCCAAAGAATTTAATTTATTACTTTGAGTGTAGGTGCTTTAACATTTCCTTAAAACATGGGCTTGTAATTTCTTGTAATACGCTTTCTAATCTGCTCAGAGATAATTCATAGTAACAATAATTTAAACAAAAGGCTGATGTCAGAAAATTGCCTCCAAATTGATTTAAATTTGAAGTAACTAATAAATCTCATCGGAAAATGCTGTCATTTTTATCTTTTATTGTAGGAGATGTCTGTTTAGAATAGTTGGAGAGATTTTGTAGAAGGGAGAGGACATCTTGTTTGTGAAAAACTGCTGATCCATTAAATGGTTCTTTTAGCTATATTAAGAAGCTAAATGCAACTCACTAAAATGCTCTTTAGCAAATCTAGGTCGGATTTTAGGCCCATGACAGCTCCTGTCTCTCCCTTAACTTCTTGCTCCCTTTAGAGGTAAACAATTTAATGCAGATGTAAGCTTTCTTTGCACTGGGAGACTTCAGCACTAACTAATATAAGCTCAAAATGTAGGTTTCAAAAAGGCAGCAGAATTTTCCAGTGAGAGTCATGTCTGTTAGTGGTTTTGAAAATTTTGATGTAAGAATATAGGTGGGTATTCAAGTTGAATCAGTATTGTGCATTGGACAAACCCAGTGGCCATTGATAGCTTTTAAGAAAAATAATTAAAAATCTGGGGAAAAATACAGCAGAAAGCAGTAATAATAACTTTGTATGTACCATTTTGTTTTTAAAGCTCACTTTGAAGACCAGGTCATTTTCTGGTTCTTTCTGCCATTGTGATGGAGGAAGAAGCACATATGCTGAACATCTGTTGGCCTTCTAACCTTGCAATTTTGACTTCAAAATTATAATCTTTGCAAAACCAGATAAGCTTGCCATATTGACTAAGCAAGCTAGACTAATTCTTCAAATTCCACTTGGCATAAAAGCAGTCTGGCATAAGTGCAGTGCTGTCCTGGAGCAGCTCAGTGCACAGCCCAGCCATGACTGCCCCATGTGAGCTGGCAGGCACATGCTCAAGAGGCTCTCTGGAAAGGGGGAAATGTCCACCCAGGACAGCTGTGAATGCTTTCTGTGGATGAGGCCCTGCTCAGCCACAGGTGCTTTCCTGGGAGCTTTGTGTTGCACAGGGATGGTTTTTGTGATGCTTTGTGATGAGTTTGTTAGTTGCCCTGATGTCCACAACCATGCTCTTGTAGCATCTCTTTGAATCAGTGCTTTCCTGTGTGTGCCCTTGCTGTAAGTGTGGTCCATCAGGGGCTCTGCTTTTCCTGTGTCTCACTGGGTAGTTCTGTAAGATGTGAAGTAGGGCTGCCTGTTGAATTGCTACAGCTGTGACACTCAGTATTAAAAATACTGCTTTGCTCAAAACAGGAAGTTGTAACATATAGCAATTCTATAATCCATCCTAATATGAGTGATCCTCGTGAATCCACTAAAACATGCAGAACTCTGTTGTAATATTGAGTTGCTGTGTCATTACTTTTAAAATGCATATTCCAAGCATGGTGCGGGGTCCTTTGAAATGCTGCTGCTTATAAATATTGTATTTGCTTTTCCACTTTGGCTCATAAGACTACAACAGTATCTTTATGAAGCTGATGTCCTCACAAGGTGCTAGCACCTCACAGAGCTAATGGTTATCAAGAGTGCATATTATTCCTTTTAGCTATCCCTCTGAAGTTAGCAATGCTCTTGACAGTTACTGCCTTTTGGCCAGGTAAACTCTAGCAAACAAAATAATCCACAGGAAAATGCATTAAAGGCTTTTTAAAGAGATCATTGTGGCAGAGGCTTTATTCTTTTCCAGACTCAGATGATCATTGATGCATGTGGATAACCTAAAGGGAAATAGCCTTTGATTCAGTACAGAAATCAAGGTGGTCTGAGGATCTTAAATCTCTGCTAGGTAAATTTAAATGACTTCACTGCAAGCTTCATCTGCTTCTGTATGCCAGATGGAGAATATGCATTCATAAAGTCTTTAGTATATGAAAACAGTGCATGTGCATTTGTTAAACATTCAAACTAGAATATAACAGGTGAAGTGCTTGATTTATACATGAATAATATGCACATATTAATATAATTTTTTTAAGGTAACAGGTTTTGTTTTGTGCTGTTTGTAGAGAGCTGGAAAGTAAGTCTGTCTTTATGCTACTAGATACATAATAGTCTATTGTTACATCTTTTTGTTTATGTAAAAAGTGAGAAAATAGTTCCTGTTCCCAATCTGTCTACTCAGAGTTGAGTCTGAAGAGAACATTTATGGCTGAATTAGGACCAGTGGGGGATCACAGCATAGTGGAAGTGCTGACTTAGAAATAATTGTATTGATGAATTATATGGTGTGTTTGTGACTAAAGTGAACAAGTATAATGCTAATTTACGCATTTTACACTCAGCACTTCTGTTTTCTCTCTCCTAGTTTCTCTGCTTGAAGAATATAAGGACTTTTCTTTCTGCATGTTGTGAAATATTTGGAATGAAGAAAAGTGAACTTTTTGAAGCATTTGATTTGTTTGACGTGAGAGATTTTGGAAAGGTAAGGATGCTCTTGATTATATCCCAAGTAACACCTGTGTTTTACTTGTGCACAGAAGACTTTTCTGGTAGCTGTGATATAGAAGTTGTAACTAATGGATGAGCATTCATTATGAAAAAATAGTGGGGAAGAATTAAGAAAGCAGAAAAAGCAGGTTTATATTGGAGGGGCTAATAAAGGGCAGAGAAAAACACTTGGCAGGAAAGTTCTGAGCGTGTGAAAAGCCAAGATAAATGGTTTGAAAGATGCTGAGTTAAAGGGAAATGAAATGGAAGAAGATAACCAGCTGTGGGTGAGTGCTGTCTGGTGAAATCACTCTGGCATAAGTTGTGTGGATTCAGAAACCCTGGGCCTGTACATTGAGCCCCTGTGGCACAGAACATGTTTCTTTAGTCTCAGGTGATTGAAATTCACCCAGATCATTTGCCCTTGTAAAATTATTTTTTGACAGTTGTTTTTTTCCTAGCCTGCTGTAAAGCTTAGCTATGATAGGTTAATCTGACTATTCTAATTTACACAGCATCTTTACAGTATATTCTGTAAGTCTGACTACTTATTCTACATGTAAAGCTTTTTCCAGTCTGTTGTTCAGCCTCCTACGTATCTGTTTGATCTGTCATTGACAACATGTGTTTAGTTCAACTTCAGTTTCTGCTTTTGAGTCATAGTATCATTACCCTAATTTCACAGGAAAATGTCTAAAAATTACCTGAAGTAGCACTAAAAATAGTCATTTATTCAAATTTAGTATATCTTAAGCATTATTGCATTATAAAAGAGATCATAATTTTACTATCTGATTTTTATGCACTGTTCGTTTTATAAGTAGGCAGAGAGGTAAAGATGATGTAAGAGTGCAAGAATGAATCAGGGCTGCAATATCATTGTTTGAAAAGGCTCAGTGATTATCAGCAACCAAAATATCTAATTAGCTTTCTCAACCTTTTGTCTGGTTTTAAGTCCTTGAAGCATTAAATTAGATAACCTGGTGATTCCACCTGTTCTTCAGTTTTGCTGAACATCTTGTCCTCATAAATCATATTTAAGACAAAGCTTTTTGTTAAAATATGGTCCTTTTGTACACATTTGGCTCGTTAAAAATGAGATTTGTTTTTGTTTTGATTGTGCAAAAATTGTTGGGTTTTCTTTTTCTGTGTGTGCTAGCAATGTCCTATTTAAAGTATTTAAGTCAGATATCTCAATGCTTGATTCAAATCTTTGATACCTGTGTCTGAGGATTTTTTTCATATTGTATGTTGTAATTACTTACTGAAAGTTTCTCATTTGGTGCCAGGTAAAGATATCCTGTTTTGTAATTCAGTCGAGTTTTAAAGAAAGATTTTACAGTGCAAATTATTCTTGCTGCATCTTTGAATACCCAGCAAAAATAATTTCTGAATTAATGGCGAATTTAATCCACAAATGTTTCTGGTAACCTTGATATGTAATTTTAACAGAATTTATTTTGGAATATGATTTTATGTAAGTATAATAACTATTTTAAAAAATTCCATCCATGATATTTACTATTTAATTTCTCTTCCCAAAGCCAATTTGAATGTAGAGACATGGCTTTTTTTACTGTTTGCAGCCACTATATAGCACAAATACACTAATTATCCCTGGCACTGGCTATCCAGTTTTGGTGCATCTAAGCAATGACTTCTCTAGTCTAGGTCACCTTTCTTGAAAAGCTCTGAGGTGAAATTGCAGTGACAAATTTGAGTGGTGTGGGATCCTGTCATGAGATGAGCTCTGTGCGTGGGAGCAGCCGCTCGTGCAGAGGTGGAGATGCTGAGTTGAACAGAGCCCTGGTGTTGGGCAGCTTTTGGGTGCCTGATGGCTGTGCTGGGGTGAACAGAGCCCTGGTGTTGGGCAGCTTTTGGGTGCCTGATGGCTGTGCTGCTCAGCATTGAGTGCTTGTGTGGGAACTTGCCGTGCACAAGTGGAGCTTGGCATAGGCCGTGTTCAGAAGGGCTGAGCTGTTTCATAGCCTGGGTAAATGAGTACATGGTCATAGTGAGCTTCTGGAAGGGGCTGTGAACTTCAGGCCATCTATGGAAGTGGAAGGAAAAATGGCAACTGTATGAAATTAATAAAATTGCAAGTCAAGATAAGTATGCTAAGTTATTTGTGTACCTGTAAGTGTACTGTTTGCACAGTCAGCAGAAAATGTTTCGAAGTGACATGAGATTTCAATTCCACATCTGATAACGTACTTACTTGGAAATTCTGATTGTTGGTAACAGTGGTCAGAATAGAAAAGTGTATCTTTTTCAAGTTCTTCTTTGCTTTTCAACTTTCCCCTTCATTATATTTTCCTGTGAATAACAACTGCAATGCAGCTGTACATCTCCAGCTTCCTTGAACAGAAGTTGTATGTGTGCAAAAGGCCAAAAAATAGTGCTGCAGATTTTTCCTGCTACTACAACCAAGTTAGCCTGCGATTTCTAACAGAATTCTTTGAACTGCTCTCTCTAAATGTGTACAAAATAGTAATGATGTTGAAATGATTACAGGTGCAAACAAAAAGGGGAGTATGATTTTAAAAGAGTTTTCTAAACTCTTGCTCAAATGGGTTATGTGGTGAGTGTATGCACTACCTTTTATGCATTTGAATGTACTGGAAGCTGTCTTAAGATCTAAGAAGCTGGCAAGTACTTAGTAGTGGTGAGATATAAATAAACTGTTGCTGAGGTAACTCCATAAACCTTATCTAGGACTTTTAAATGTTTCAGTTTAATTTCTAAAGAAATTACTATTGAATTCGTCATCTTAAGATGGGATGTTTTGTTTAGTATGACAGATTTCAGTGACTACTTAAACATCCTAGTGGAGGGAACAATAGGCGTGTGTCAATGAACAACATGCCTTCAAGGAAGTAAGGCTGAAGGGGAAAAATAAGGTGAGAGACTTGGTGAGGGCAACTGTATTTTTTTTTTTTTAAATATTCTGATATTTTTCAAGTCTTTAAAGAAAATGGCAGACAAATCCAGAGCACTGTAGAAGTAGCAGCAGTATCCTGCCAATATGGTCATAAGACTTTTAACAGCCTTGTGAAATACTGGTTACAAAATGTTCGTTGTAAGGTGAAACTTGCACTTAGTAGTTAGAGGTAAATGAGCTGTTTCCTGATGCTTTGCCTTGACATAGCATATGAAAATTTGACTTGAACTTTGTGCTCCACTTTTCAGAGACTTTGATCTCTCAGTGATTAGAGAAAAAGAAGGGTGTATGTGGAGTGGATGGGAATCAGAGGTGAAGCTGAAGTAGCAACATGTAAATAGCTAAAGAATAGGCTAAGAAATGGAAGCAAGTACCTCATGTGTGTTTAATATGTACATTCTGATATTAGCTGATATATGTACATATTGATATTAGCTGTTACAAGATGAGTTTTCTTCTGTTTTAAATATAGCAGCACAGTTTCTTATTTTTAGATAGACTGTGGTTGAAAAAAGAGGGGCTACATTACATAGGCATAGGAAGGTTCTTTAAATCGTGCTTTAAAAAATCATATGTAGCTTGATTTTTCTTGGAGTTCTATGGTATTCACCCATTCCCACTCATTCACCTTTCTATCAGTAAATTTCATTGTTGCTGCATTACGTTCCTGACAGAGCATGAAATGCTCTCCCACACACTGGAGGTGCCAGACAGTGTTTTCATTATGAATTCCATGCTGGAGAGTCATTTTTCACTACCGCAGGGTTGTCAGGTTCTTTCTTTCTACCTGTGTGCCAGAATAAGCAAATGCTGTTGGTACTTGTTCTTTCAGCTTGGAGCCCTCCTCCAACAGCAGCCTTTGTTGCTTGGTGCTCCACAACAAATTGTTGCTATCCCTATTCTCTGAAGGAAGTTTGTAACTGATGTGTTGCAGAAATGGGAATCTGAGGATTAGTTCTGTTGATGTCAGCAGATGCTCCCTGGACTCAGCTGTGTTTGGGGTCCTGTGGGGGGAAAATGGTGTCCAGGAAGTGTCAGAACACCTTTTGTGTGCTGTGCTTTTAAATTTCCTATGAAATGTGTAAGAGAACACAAAAGAATGCTACATTGTGCAGTATTCTTTTACTACACAAAAGAATGTGTAGCAGTGCATGGAGTGTTTTTATGAGATAACTGATCTAATGTGAACATAGCAAACTCCCTTGTAGGGATCCTGCATTAGATGTCTAGAAATAATGTACAATATTCAATTGTGATTTTAAAAAAACAAGGAGATCAAATATCAAGTGCCACCAATGAAATAAGCATCTAATTTTTTAAAAGCATATAACATGATGCCTAGTGTAGCTCTCTGATGACACTTAAAAGGCTGATTAATATAAAAGCAAGCAACTGCTGTGAAAATATTGAGTTGCACATACTCAATTCATGTAGTTGGGGATCATTTTAGTTACTCCCTTATTGCAAAGGAAATTTGGGCAATGATGCAGGAGAAAGTCATGCTGAAGTTGAGAATCCTGGTGTGTTAGTATTCCCTCAGGTTTAATGGATTCCAGGAAGATTGGACAGATGTGCATGAGATACACCCACCAAAATCAACACAACAAAAAGCAACTGTTATTTTGAAAAACTATATATCCTTCCTGGAAAAGTGTCTAAAAAATCTTCAATAAAACTGAAACGGTTGAGATTATCTGCAGTTGTTTCATGTTTTGTTTTCTGAATTTAATCAGTGGGATAATAGAGCAAAATATGATCACTTTTTGCACATGAAATTATGATAAAACTGCAGAATGTGGGGGAACATGCCAAAGTGTTATAGTATATTTCTGTAAAGATATTAAAATGAAGAAAGAGACAGGCTTGCTTTTATCAGTTCAATCATTAAATGCAGAGCTCTGTATCTTCATTGTCCCTTTTTATTCAGAGCTCTTTTAGTTGTAAAAGAAACTACAAAAAAAAGTCTTGGTGGTTTGCTCAAGAAAGTAGCTTGTTTTCAGGAGTAGCATTTCAGTGAGATGGACTGGTTTGGGATGAATGACACTTGAACTTCT